TGTAATTTCAAATGTATCAAATTAATTATAATTTAAACTCACTGTGAAAGAACTGTATGTATACAGTAATATACATAAAGATTTTATGTAGAAAGATATCTGAATTTAATAGTTGAATTTATGAGTCGGTTAAAAGATAGACTATCATAGAAAACCTGGAAACACTGAATGGCAGTTCTGTTCTAGTATGGGACTCCTCAGTAGTGCTCATCCATGATCCTATACGTGACACTTGGTCTCGCATGTGAACGCTTAACCTCTAGACTAATGAAGTGGCATCCAATGGTGTTAATGTCTAATTTCAGGTAATCCACGATATTGTTCCAACGTTCACTATTGTCTTCAGTGAGTAACTGTCTTGCAACGGACACGGTTGAACTCCACTGATCACGGCTTCACACTAGAACTTCAGGAAGTACATCTTGAAGCCAGTCACTAGTGAACACATGATGATGATTATTATCAGGATAGGGACTTGTGGAGATTGTAATTATGTAATGGTTGAATTTATGAGTCGATTAAAACTAGACCATCATGGAAAACCTGGAAACAGTGGACGGCTGTTTTGTCTTATTATGGGACTCCTCAGTTAGATATTGACACCGTTGAATGTCAGCTCAGTGGTCTAGTGGTTAAGCATTCATACGTAAAACCGAAGGTCCTGGGTTGGAGTCTGACGTGTGGGATCGTAGATGAGCATTACTGAGGAGTCCCTTACTAGGACGGAACGGCCGTCCAGTGTTTACAGGTTTTCCATGGAGGTCTAGCTTTAGTCAACTCATGCATTCAACTATTAAATTACTACAATCTCCGTAAATTCCTATTCTGATAAAAATATAAATTAAGCAAGTATTGACCAATTTCCTCTCACAAAATATTTGAAACAAAACAACGAAAAATGTCATAACATCAAAGAATGAACTATTGAGAATATTTCCAAATCAATACTTCGTTGTTATCTCAAGGTTTTAGAACCTATGGTATAACGTACCAGTTTAAAAAATGGGATTAAATGATACCAGAAAGATACATTGAATTTGTTAATAATAATATCATCAAAATCTTATCACACCAGATGTGAATTAATCCCATCGCAGCTTTACTCTATAAGAATCTTAATTGAAAAATTATTGAGTTATACAAAATATGTGTTATCAGTGAGATAGTCAGGTAAAACCATTCAACCGTTTATATTTTGAACTACAATAACATAAGTTAGGCCCCCTAATGCCCTGGTACGGCCGAGAGTGGGGAGAGTCCGCTCTCCCTCTCAAAATGCTCTCAAATGGTCACGCGTATATAGCCTCTGCCAGGGAAGTCCTACTCACTGCCTTCTCGTGGAGGGGGTGTTGTTTACGAAAATGAGAGAACGAAAAGCGAATATCCGGTGCTTTAACCGGATTCAAAACTAATGGTGCACATGGGTTCCAGTATCCTGCGGGAAAAAATGGCGTATGAACCAATTGTTGGTCACCGGCTACCATGGGACTGCATCTCCTTACGATGCTCCACTGCCTTGTGGATCAGACCTTCAGGTCGAAGGCTCGGGGTGTGGCCCCCTAAGAAAACCACCTACTTCGGTTTGGGCACCCGGGCAGTATCACAGCCCTCACACATATCGAATGAGATTTGTGTGGCGCATATGTATTTGGTGCCTCTTTGTACCATTATCTATGTGTTGAAATAAATAAATAATAACAATAACATTACAACGTTGCGCAACCATATTCCAGTGGCATTTATCAGTGACTTATACCACATTTTAGTATATTTATCAAAGAGAAATGAAGCTAGACAATGTAAACAAAGTGAATGATTCAAAGTTAAATGGTTACCGAACTTAGTAATTTTTAAATTCACGTTAGCAATCGAAGATGAAAAGCACGACGGAAATAAGTACTAAGATGTGACGATTACCATCTACGCTATGACTGAATCCCTTCCACCAGTTGTCAATTATAAGATAAAATATCAAACAAGACTAAATATACTCACTTTAGTAGTCATAAGATTGAGCACTCTCTATAAAGCTTGAAAACCATGTGTTCGATTTTTGGTAGGGTTGTAAATGGGAATGCCTGAGGAGTTCCATACTAGAACAAAGTAGCTTTTTAGTGTCTCCTAACGTCATTAGTTGTCTGAGATTGGTTTGAAATACAAATCATAAGATTTGATAATCTTTAAAGACTTCTCTGAATCAAAGAATAAATTAGCCTATGGTAGCAAAATATCTCAGATTTACAGCAGTATGAAACAAATAACTAATGTGTTTCATTTAAAGTTTGGAATTTATAGCTTATTTCATTCTAGTTCAGTCGTGATTAACATAGGAGTTAAGTACAAGTGTGGATTAGCTCAACTTTGCATGCAAAATGCATATTAACTCACTTATTGATAATATATTTGTATATTTACCTGAAAATGAGCTAGGTGGAGTAAGGTTAGAGCCGGTGGCTTAGTTGCAGAAATTCAAACGCGCCGAACACTAACCCAACTCCCTCATTATAAAAGGCGATGCATATTGAAGCAGTATTGTTAACAGCTGTTTATTATAGTCACAAAAATGAACATAGGAAGCACAAATCAGAAACGGAGAATGAAACATGTAAGTCAAGCAAGTTAAAAAATATTTAAAGGTATAAGATTCAGGTAAAGATATCCTAGAGACGGATTCTGTGACTCAATTAGAGCCGAAAATGTTGGATTATGTATGGTCAGCATCAGCTCTTAATTTAACTATATGGAATGAAGAACTCCAGTATATCACTGCTTTACTTATTTTGAGAGCCTGACTAGTTTAGGTTGTTTGGTGGATGACTAGATCTAGTTGAGAACACAGAACTTTAGTATTGACTTAAAAACTACGGAAACAATTTTTGGAGCTAAATATAAACAAATTAATACTAAGTATCAATTCATAAAACTACCTGTTTAGTATTGGGAAAACAATCATAATTACCATTTATTATTCTGTAAACCTTAAAGTACATATCATTTCTTCCTATCCTTTTATTTTATAAGTTCTTTCTCAAAATAATTTCTCATATTTAGCATATAAAATTATGGATACGGTTATTACTTTGGCTACTTTGATTCCTATATTGATAGTTACCGTACACCTTTTGAATTTCATGTCTGATAGTTTCCTTCAATGCATATTTCAGCTAGCTTCCATGTTGCCGAAGAGTGACTGTTTAGTCAATGCCTAGATATTGTTAACTTAAATGTGCTACAGCAAACGAATTAAGAAATCTTTATAGAGAAAATTTGTAAATAAAACAGACATAATTGAAGGGTTCAAAATACTAGTTATTATTGGTCAATTATTAAAGAAAGAAATAAAGAATAAACTAATTTCTAACAATTCGAAATGTGCCAAGGTGTTGTTGTTTAAAACTCACCATCATGGATTATGTTTATTCTGAGCCTATAGTGCTCGTTTTAAGCTTGTATTTATAAATCCAGAAAATGATTGTTAACCGATTTGATCTAAGATAATCTACATTTGTAGTGTCAAATTTGCATAAAATGCCACATTAAAAATGTGTCCAATTTTAAAGAGCGTCGACAAACTTGCTATCACTATTTACACTTGGCAATATTATCTTGCTGGTTTCAGAGAACAAGGTTTATTGTAGAACGTTAGTTAGCCAACGTTCATGGTAAACGTGGAAACACAAAATACGTAAAATATAAAAGAACAAGTCCAGCTTTATTGGTAAAATCCTAATGAAGACGGTGAAGAGGTGTTTTGAAAGATTTATGACATCGAAATCGAGGAACGTTCAATTACTTTAAGTGTAATAGATAGACCTATCCACTACTCACGTTATAAAATGGATAAACCTACATAATCAGACTTGTGTTATAGATAACTGATGTTGACCATTTTCGATTGCTTGACCGAAACTAAAAAAATCTCATCTTCTCAACCGTATATCTACCGTAAAAAGCTATTAATAAAGTGTTTTTGGACAAAATGTAAACTAAACCTTAAATGATATCATTTCAAACAAAAATCTATCTAAAGTGATACCAAATTTTATGGGGATGTGTAACATGCAACAAGATACTATAGTAGCGATTGGACTGTAGTCCGGTTTTCTTATTTCTGTAGGTACTAGTGAAACAGTGGTGTGTTTGTTTTATCTTCAGAATCAAGCCACAATCAAGGATGTTTAACAACAGGTCGGCTGTATCTGAGATAAACAGATAAAAACCACTGAAGTCAAACCAATCCACTGATGTGAACCTGAGTCCTTTTTAGAAAGAAGTAAAGTGGGTTTGCACGTAAGACTATCTTCGAAAAGACAAAATTAATTGGATATGTTTTTAGTAGCAAGTCACTGTTAAATTACTTATACATCGAGTGGATTTATGAATTTAGAATCAGTGGTGTTGAATATTTTTATCGTTCAGCTTCTTTAGTCGACACTGCTAAAGGTGCAAGCCACTTGCGAATTTTTGGGTGGAACCAAACAAAAATAAAGGAACATTTTGAAGTAACTTTAAATCGTGGATGTTTGAAAGTATATGACGTCTAATGATTTTATTAAAGAGAAGAATTAAGAAGATGACTTACTATGCTTGAGATTATCACTCTAAAATCATACAGATTACAACAAGCATCAGAAAACCCTTTTTTAAAACAAAGCGTTGATAGATAAGAAATTAAAAAACTTCAATGTAACCAATACATTTGGAAATGATGAAGCAATTTTATGTCACCCACGACTTAAAAAATAATTGCTGGTTTTTGCAGGAATATTCAAACTATCAAAAACTTATAGAACATCTTATAAACTCGTATTTGAACAGAGTACAGACTATCTTATGCCAGTACGGTTTATTATCGACGACCAGTGACAGTTAAAGTCAAACGCAGAAAACATGTTCACGCTTTGCATCACAAGTTGATTTTGAACTTTTAAAAATGGCGATCAACTATGGACGGATTTTATGGTTGTATGAATAAATAAAAAAGACTTCAATAGATTTACCTTATTAGGTTCCGATATTTTGAATAAATCCAGTCTCGTAGCATTCCATTCCTTAATACGTCTTAGCAAATCTTTTTGCTCGTAATTATTTAATCCCATTAGTTTATTAGGTAATTTTTAGCTGTATATAATCATTTATCTGACACATTTCGAAAATCCGACAGTAGAGCGAATCCTGGTTGTTTACACTATTGATATATTAAAACAAAACAACGTGTCTTTTGTTGTTAGTTGTATAAATGATAGTAAGTTGAATTGTAGTTTGCATGACATCTTTTGACAGTACGATTAAGTTTCTTCAATATTTTAATCACTATGTATAGCCTTGAATTTTATAGTAAATTATACGGCTTTTTCAGTCCAAAAACAGTGTTTGTAACAGATGACATTTCACGCGCTTGAGTCAGATCAAAGTGTATATTTTGGTTAAAGGCATCTTTACCCAAGAAAATTACTAAAACATAGTTGTTTTAACTCTGTGGTAATGAAGTCAAAATGAACTTCATGCGCATACCTGAGAAAATCTGGTGGAGAGTAAAATGATGAATACCTCAGTAATCTGTAAATGACGCTGACTTAAGATAAGCAATTTGCTAAAAACATCAACAGTTCATTAAATCTGGACGGAATGTTGTAATTGGTACCATTTGCTAAATATGTGGTTTATTACTACATAGAATGAGAATGCCACTACAGGAAAATCTGACTGTACGTGATTAAAAATTTCAAACTGTCTTTCAAAAGAGTCAACATTCCTTCACTAACCCAGTCTGTGACTTTTTGTCATCAAATAACTAGATGTAACCGAATGAAAAATCAATGAATCTCTCATAAGTCTTTTATTTTACCAGACTTATGACCTCTTCGATCTTTCACTCTACCTGGTCTATTAACGTTTGACCAGTACATGAGTAACCATGTTCTATACTTCCAACTCTTCTTTATCTACGCTCTTATTAGTCAACTTTGTCTTTTAATTTTGATATAATTTGTCTTCCTTGGTAAATTAGAACTTATATATGAAACAGAAAGTTGTGTACCGATATATTTTAAAGGGATAGGTTAAAAGAGTTTTTACGCTGTGCTAACCGGCCCAGTTAACATAATTCTTGGATCTTATTGGCATATGTACAACCTGTGTGGATTGCCTCGATATTGCCCTAATTCGCAAGCATTATAAGCAATGGGAAGATTCAGGTAAACAACACCAGGTGAATCCAAACTTTGCCCCATGGCACAAGCAGGTGGCTATGAGATCTTAGTAGCTGAGTGAATAACGCAATGTCGTTTGAAGTGAATGGTACTGGATTCGATTCCCAGAGTGACACACCAACTTTGAAAAGCAATTACATCCAGCTGACGAGTCCCAAATAGGACTAAACGCGTGTCCTGTATTCTACTGCTAGCAACTATCCATCTTTACTTATAATGCTTATGAATTAAAGCAATATCGCGGCGATCCGCATAGGATGCACGTATGCCGATAAGAGACTGATCAACTGCAATCTTAATCATCAATGGGAAAATCCAAATAAACCATACCATGTGAAAGAATGTATTCGTTGAAGCAAGCGGGAGGAATAGTAACTAAGTCAATACCGCTAAGCTATGGAGAAATCTACTCGGTCAAGCGGGTAATCTGCCCTAATCATAAGTGTCGTAAACGACTCGATAGTCGGTTTAAAAATGTATAATATCTGGACCACATATCTAGTCCTTGGTATTGTCTTACCAACTTTACAGGTTGGTTGTTTCTACTTAAGTTTGATACAAAGCATACAGGATTCGACTATATCGACAAATATTTTGATCTTGCCTGTAAACTGGCATGCCTCGTGTAACATATTATTATTTGGGAATAAATTATTATTATGGCAATGACCGCATCACTAACGAATTAAGCAAAGCAGCTACAACTTGTAATATGCTTGGCTGCTTCGATAGACATGTACAAAATTCACAGACATCCTTAAATATCCGCTGAGTATACTTAAAGCTGTAAATTGAGCCATGCAATGTTACAGTGTATAATATTATCTTATGATTTTTGGAGTCTCAAATTGCCAGAAGACTGAAACGCAAACATAGCCCACCAGCAGAATAACACTGTAGTGTCCAGTACTATGTCTAGCCTAGATAGGTCATCCGGACTGACCAGTAGGTTAAATCTTCTTGAGTCAGATTTTGACGTTGTCACTTATTCTTATATAACCCTAAGTGTTTTTATATAAGTGCATGTGTTTGTACCACTTAACCAAGTCATGACTTGTCTTTAGCCTGATTTTGTCTGACCATAGGTATTGAGTATCGCCTTATCAAATAGAGTTGTTTCCTCGAACAATATACAAACGGTATCATTTGGCGGCATAAAAGTAAGAAAATATCAGTCAGATATACCATAGTCTCAAAATAAAACTCCACGTTTTAAGAGGAATTCAATAAGCACATGTACACTAGCTAAACTTTGACAATTTAAAGGGCTTTTTTATACTTTCAAGGGATTAAAAAGAACTTATATCTTCAACAATCTTTTCACTGGCTTTTAGCATTGTGTGATATGAAGCAGTTTGTATTGATAGCAGGATCAAACCGGTATCACATGTCGTAAAAACCTCGTTGTTGATATTCCTCTCTTATTTGGTAGCTGGATGGAATTTTGTTATTTAATTGAACTTGATGATTGTTTACTTACTAAATTGCGCCTGAAAATCCTCGTGAGAAAGAATAGGCCAACCACCAGGGTTCTCCATCCAACTCCGTTCTGAGTAATCGGTACCAGTTGCTATTCATCCTTTTCACGTTTGCTTTCAATTTCCGACTCAACGTGTCCCTTGGTCTTTTACTTTCTCTTCTCCCTTGAAGGTTAAGAGTTCGAGATCACCCGATGATGCGGTGTGATGATTTCTTCAATGTATGTCCTATCTACTTCTAACATCTTTTCCCTATTTCCTCTTCAGATGGAAGCTGGTCCATTCTCTCCCATGGTAGGTTGTTACTGATGGTATCCGGCTAACGAACACTCAGTATATTGCAGTGACAACTTTTTATAAATACTTGTACCTTTCTGATGATGGTCGTGGTAGTTCTCCACGTTTCATCTCCGTACAGTAGAACTATCTTGACATTCGTAATGAAGATCCTGACTTTCACATTGGTTGGCAGTTGTTTTAAGTTAAACATATTCTTCAAATGTAAAGGTGCGGTTCATGTTTTGCCAATCATCGCCTTTACGTGTGCATCAGTTCCCCCTTGTTCATCGATGATGCTGATCTGATAAGTGGAACTTTACACCTCTTCCAGAGTTTCTCCATCAAGTGACATGGGTTGGTGTTCTCTGTGTTGTTTTGGGATAAATGGGACATTTCATCAGCGGAATTCAAATCGTCTAGTTGCATTCCGGTTGTTCATTGTATTTCATTTTTCCCATCAAATATCAACAGGACCAAACTCCAGTCCAGGCACCAAATTTTATTTGCGAATCGCGAATAAGCGACCCAAATATCTTCAGTCTTTGAGGTACCCGGAGCAGAGCAAATCGAAGAGAAAAAAGGTAAGAAGCGTAAAAAAAGAACAATAACGAAGAGATTGGTGTAAGGTAGTGTAGTAATAATAATAGTAATAATGAGGGAACAGAAAGGTACAATCACAAGAAATCTTTCAGTCAAGGAAGACACAACCACTTTTTATGAAGAAAGTAAAAGAAGGTTACAGCAGGATCGCCACTGGCTTCTATTCTGAGCCATATCTGATAACGTCTCTAGCCACTGTGTAGCACCATCTCTCGAACCCCAACCAGGGAGTCGTGAAGGACCGACAGAAGCCTTTCTTTCAAGCCACGACACCATGTCATGCACTGACCACCTCTCCGCTTCTTCCAACCAGTCCCAGTGTCGGCAAATAATGCACGACGTGGAATTCTCTGGGACGACATTCGTAGAACATGTCCAAGCCACTGAAGTCGGTGTTTCAAGATGGTGACACCAATTGCATTATCGTCTCTATGCCCGAACACACGATGCCGAACCTCTGCATTACTGACATGGTGTTGCCACTGGATGTCAGCAATCCTTCGGAGACAGCGATGATCGAACACAGAGAGTCGTCTAACATCCTCAACTCGGAGAGGCCAGGTTTCACAAGCGTGGAACAGAACTGCTCTCATCGACGCGTTGTAGATCCGACCTTTTACAGACAGACTAGCATCACGAAGGCGCCAAAGATGACCCAGGTTGGCATGAGCCGCTCTGGCTTTCAATATACGTGCATTGATTTCATCGCTCATGCCACCACCAGCATTTATGCAGCTACTCAGATACACGAACTTCTCGACCACTTCTATCTGCTCACCATCCAGAGTGAGTACAGGATTGGGATCCTGCCAGTCTTGTACAAGCACCTTGCACTTCGAAAGTGCAAGGCACATACCATACCTACGGACACTAATTGTCAACTGATTAAGTGCGGATTGCATGCCTTGAGCATTATCGCACAGTAAGACAATATCGTCCGCATACTCAAGGTCGAGAAGTCTTTCTCCAGGCAACAGATCCACATCGCCATTACTTACATCCATCAGAACTGTTTCCAGAATGTCATTCATGGCAAAGTTGAAGAGGAATGGTGAGATTGGGCAACCCTGCCTAACCCCACTGCTCGAATGGAACAATGGAGAGAGGTGGTTGTATGCCCTCACTCTGCCTGAGGTGTTTTTATATAGGGCTTTTAGGATGTTAATAAACTTCTCAGACACACCCTTCTTCAATAGACAATCCCAGAGAACAGTCCTGTCCAACGAATCGAAGGCAGCCCTGATGTCAAGAAACACTACGATTGTTGGCCTTTGATAAGTATGGCGGTGTTCTAACATTTGGCGGAGGGTGAAGATATGATCAATACATCCTCATGCAATTGCAACCAATGCTCATCTATAATTTTCGGTGAAATGGTAGCTAGCCTAGAAGCTAGCTCGGTTCGATACTTATTTGCAACAGAAGCTGCAACCAGCTTGCTAACATCAATCCGTTGGTGGCGGTCACTTCGTTGTCCACTGGAAAGTAAGGTAAGATTGGCGCAGACCAAGGCATGATCAGAGTCCAGATAGGTACTCCAAAAGGAGCGGCAGTCTTGTACACAACCACGCCAGCTGTAGCTGATCGCGATGTGATCAATCTGAGTCCAAGCTTGGGATGCAGATGGAGGACGCCAGGTGGTACATCGGCGATGACTGTGCCGAAAGTTAGTGCTAGCCAGAAACAGGTTGTGGTCTGTGCAAAGTTGTAGTAGACGGTCCCCGTTACCTGACCTGCAGCCAACGAGTCCCCATCGGCCACCTAAACGACTCTCTTCTGTGCCTAGACGCCCGACCTGAGCACTCAAGTCTCCGGCTAGTACTACAATATCTGTCGAACGCACTTTCTGGAGAAGAACAGAAAACTGGTGGTAAAACTCATCCTTGATTGCATCCGGGCTGCAATCTGTCGGGGCATAGGCGAAGATGACAAAAAGACATCGTTTCTCATGCCGATTTCTTCTCATTTTGATGGAACTTTCTAATCTAACAGCACATAACCGACTGTTAGTGGGGATCCAATCGACTAGTGCTGCCTCAGCTCTAGCGCTTAGTGCGACACCAACGCCAGCAAGACCAGACGATGTCACAGGGTCCCCGGATAAGCGCATGTAAAACAAGCTTTTCGAAGCGACAGATGGAGATCGAATTTGTAGTACTTCACCAGAGTCTTGAATACGGGTCTCGGATAGACAACACACGTCGATATTAAGACTTTCTGAAGACATAACCAGCTCTATCTGTTGTCCAACCTGCATAAGTGTGCGAACGTTGAAGGCAGCCAGTTTGAATGATGCATGTGGTTTCAGAAAAACTGCTTCAGTACTCATATTCGGTGGTAACATACAATTTTCAACCGGACAGTGACTCGAGAACGTTTAGATACAGTCGAATTTCCACCAAAGACGAGCCGCTGTATAAGTATAAAAAAGGGTGAATAATGTGGTAAATAATAATAATCACTTGAATCATTTGATTGTTATTCGAAGTGAGAAAAGTAGTTTCCATAGATATAGAGAGTTCATCATTTGCGTGTGGACTGCGATACTGCCCGGGTGCCCAGACCGAAGTAGGTGGTTATTTTAGGGGGTCACACCCCGAGCCTTCGACCTAAAGGTCTGATCCACAAGGCAGTGGAGCATCGTAAGGAGATGCAGTCCCACGGAAGCCGGTGACCAACAATTGGTTCATACGCCATTTTTTCCCGCAGGATACTGGAGCCCATGTGCACCATTGGTTTGGAATCTGGTTAAAGCACTGGACATTCGCTTTTCGTTCTCTCATTTTCGTAAACAACACCCCTGCCACGAGAAGGCAGTGAGTAGGACTTCCTTGGCAGGGGCTGTATACGCGTGGCCGTGTGAGAGTATTTCGAGAGGGAGAGCGGACTCTCGGCCGTACCAGGGCATTTGGGGGCAGCTCCCAAGTACCATACCAAAGATAAAGAGAAACCAAAATGCCCGAAGGCATAGATATAAACAAACAAGTTCAGAAGTTGAGTAAAACAAATACATCCGAAAACACAGTGAAATTAATAATATTCAATTTAACAGTTTCTAATCAGTGAAATGTCTTCACTTCTCCCGTAACAACCAGAGCAACCTCCTTGGTGTGTAGAGCATTATTCTTCTTGATTAAAAGGGTACAACAGCATCTATCCCTAATCTAATCTCTTCTATCTAGCTTGGGTTTCACTTATTTCGAACATGGCCAAGTTATATCTCCTCATTTACCCAGCTATTTATTTGGTCATCCCGGTCTACACATTATATGGACATTCCATGTACACATATTCGTTGCTACTCTGGTTGTTAGAACAGGCATTGTCGCCGCAACTCTCGAAGAATCTCCGCTTTCACCATGAGACATCATAGTTCTCCTGAATGACAATACATCGGCTCCCACGGGAGAGTTAAAATTATTTTTCTGATCAGCGTTTTTCAGCAATCGTTTTCTATGGGATGGGGTTGCTGGCGTCATGCTTAACCCTACTCTTTCAATCGGGCTTGGGACCGACATTAACTCTAGAAGAGCTACAGGCTGACTTTGCTCGACGATAGTTAGCTAGCAAATTAAATGTTTAGGTTTGTATATCGATAATGGTGCTTATCCGGACTACACTCTTTAGACATTGTTGTACCTAAAATGGAATAGAGATGAAGTGGGTGGAAAACTGTAATTTTTACTCGTGACTCAAATGTTCTCGAACTTATTCTTCGTAGAGTTTCACATATGAAATGTTACCCTTCCTATATTCCTCCTTATTTTTTTATCTTCTGGAAAATACTGCTCAAAAATGATCTCTGTTTGAGGAAAACGATACTCTCCCCAAATATATATGTTACTTCAAATATACTCATATTTCGATATAACTTGCTAACATAGGATCTTGATGAATCTGCTAACTAAGCAGCAAGAGATAGGTAGAGAAAATTACCAAATCAACTAATTAGCATCAGATATAACTTTATTTTCAATAAGAAATTAATTATTCTACATTTTAGGTAATTGTTGATTTTTCGCTGATTTTAAACCTTTTAAATAGTTTTTCAGTAGTTTTAATTCCTCAGGTTTCATTTTTTCAGATTGTTGTACACCACTGTCATCATTATTCATTATTTTTCGACCGAAGGTAGACTAAAACAATAAGAACAAGTGACACAAAATTAGCAAACAATCCTTGTAATCTGTCGAAATTAATTTAAAAATAAAGTGATGCATCTGGAAGCAAAACATAGCTAAAATGGACTAATTATTTATGACGTGGGTCGATATTACTCATATTAATCGTAAAACAATGGATGCTAGCTTATGAAAAGTGATCATCGAAGAGTAAGTGTATTGGTTTTATTGGGGTCATAATGCAATCCAAGTTAGCCAGTTATTGGATATTAGGAAGGACCAGAAGCCTATTACGTCCCAGCACGAGACATCTCAGAAGTTTACATCCATGACACTACAACCAGGAGTAGAACCCAGGAATTGAGACCTTGCGCGCGAATGCTTAATCCATGGTGCAGTGTTACATACCTCCTGGATTTACAGAAGTCGAACTTGTACATCATCGGATCTCGGCACACGCGAAACCCAAAATCCTGGGTTCGACTCCTGGTTGCGAGGCTGTGGATTTGCGCTGCTGAGGACTCTAATACTGGGACGAAACAGCCGTTTAGTGACTCTGAATTTCTAAGAATTGTCTAACTACAATCAGTGTGTGGTATGAATTATATAAGTCCAATATTCTACACAAACCCATTATACTAAATTAAAAAAAACGTTAGGAATCATTTACAGAAATGTGGGGGAAATAAAACAAAAGTCCAAATAAATATAAGAACCTGAAAGAAATATTGATGTTTACCTTTGCGTTCACACTAAGTATTTGTTCAGTTGTATATGGTTGGAAATCCAACTTCGTCACTGAATTACAATCAAGTTTAATAGCTGGTTTGGTGTAAACCGATGGTTCATGTTTGAATGATTTTGGTTTTGGATTAGTCTGTTGTTATAAAAGAAAAAGAAATGGGTCCGATAAAGAAAAAAAACTAATTACGGATTTGAGTTCTTTATTGACTTATTTTGATTAAATAATTGATTTGGTTATCTTGATAATTTTAACTTGTAATTATCACAAAATTTTGTATCCCTTTACATATGTCTGATATAGGCTATGTGGTAGGGGTTTGGAATAAGAGAGATCAAAACTAACTTTTCACGCCATATAACCTATTATTAGGCTACTGAGCTAAATTATGTACCTTTCATTTGGTAAAATAATTTCTTATCATAGTCTAGGTAGTTCAAAACATACATCCTTCATTCCACTGATATTAATTATTAAGTAATATACATGAATATTCTAGAGAGGACAGTAGACATAACATAGATAAGTGACTTCCTAACTTCTGACACAATTGACCATACACAGATCAAAGCAGCTCACTAGGATATAGAGAAAATCAGCTCGAAAAATTTCAGTAGTGAGGAGACGATTATTAAGTTTGTTTGAAAAGTTATTTTCATTTTGAATATAGATACTGATAGCTCTGAATGGCTAAAGTTGGAAAGTATGTGACATTTGATTATGGCTCATCACTTTCACGATATTATGATTACAGCAATCTCTGAAGGTCATAAGTGTTATCTCATGTGGAATTATGCACGTGATATGTTGAAGAGTTTCATACTAAGACAAACATATTTCCACTAACCCTTGGTAACTTCCATCAGTTTTCTAGATAATTTCCATCTATGAAATAAACTATTTCCAAGATAGCTGATGTTTTTGTGGAACATTCAGCTAATGTAACTCAACTAAATAAGTAGAGAATGTTCCTTATTTGTGGTAGTGGAGGTAGGTGTGATTGGTCATTGATTGTGGATAAACAGGCACACAACTTTCTTTCCGCTTACTGATTTCTACTCCGGACTCACTGAGAGTAACTACTTGTAACTGTGTAGAATAAAGTAGTCTAGCGTTACTTTTCTTCTCTATTCTTAGTCATACATCATATATCTGATATAACATAATCTAATCTCATTATTGTGCACCGTTCGATTTTCCAATCTAGTGGTATTATAAACTTGACTAACTAGACCAGCCTTATTATCAAATTATTAGATTAGCGTAGTTAAACCACAGAGCGAGAGAAAAAATATTTTCACGAATACGTTACATCAGTTCCATAGTGTTTAGAGATAATTTTGATTCATGAATATTAGTTTGAAGTGAGTATTTTTTGTTTCATATCACTAGTCAATCCCAAGACAATAATCGAAGATAAGATACCATTTTCTAGTATGGAGGTTTGCAGAGATTACTAAGTTTTGTAGTTAACATCATCGACTGACCACCACTCTTCCTCAAGGTTATGAATGGGCACTGTTAAAGAGTTCCATACTAAAATGAAACAACGATCTAGTGCTTCATTGGTTGTAATGTAAACTAAGTATTTAGAAGGTCAAATAACATCTAAGATTTATTCTTAATTCTATCAATTGATTGGGTAACAATGAAGATGATATTTATTGAAAATCCTATATGACAACTTTTGAAGTATCCATTGATAACAATACCTTTCCATAACGCTAATTGGATGCCATAAATCAAATGTTGAGAAATATACTATTAAACCCACTCCAATAGTTTCCTTTCATCACTTGACAAAGTAATTGTTGAGATTAAGAGACAATGGGATGGGATAATGATCGAAAAACGAACCCAACAATTACAGTATTAAACGTTCACCAACACATTGACTCTTTGACCATGTATGACTATGCCTTGTTTATTTACTCATTTTACCTATCCTCGAGTTACCGTTCGATATGTTATATATATCTATCTTTTTCACTGTTTGATCGACTTTACTAATTGTCTTTTACTTACTAACGGTCGTAATCTACATGAGTAAAGATGGATAGTGGTTAGCAATAGAATCCAGGACGCGCGTTTCGTCCTATTCGTAACTCGTCACCTGGATGCACCTTCATCACAGAGTTGATGTTTACTTCGGGAATCGAACCCAGTACCGTTCGCTTCAAACACTATCGCGTTATCCATTTAGCTACTGAGTCCTGATAGCCAACTGCTTGTGCAGTGGGGTGAAGTTCAAGTTCACTTGATGTTGTTTGTTTGTATCTTTCCATTGTTTTTTAGGATGAAACGCGCGCCCTGGATTTCACTGCTAGCCACTATCCATTTTTGCTTACAACGCTTTTGACTTAAGGCAATATCGGGGCCATCCGGACAGGATGCACATGTGTCAACAAGAGACTGATTAACTGAAGTCCTAAACAACAATGGGAAGATACGAGCAAACAACACCAGGTGTTAATCTACGTTTTACAAACAGATAAAGTTTATTGAGCAAAATAGCTTACTTGTTCTGACTTTGGCCAAGCTAAGACTCTGTACTTATAGTCCGGGGATTAGTTTAGAATTTAGACTATAGGAGATCACTTCCTACAATATCAACCCCTCTGGTATGGGTAAGTACCGGTGAGGAGTAATCGATGTGTCTACATGAGTAGCACGTAAATTATTTTTGTTTTGAATTGGCAGAGCGTTGACCATATTGATGAGTATTACAATATAAGAACAACTGCAATACATGTCCTTTTCGGTATCAGATCATGGATGCAAGCCACTCGACGAAATGTTCGACCCCAGTCAGTAGAAGTAATTATAATGTGTTTATTTGATCTGCATTAACGAAATCTAAATTACATTATGAGAATAGTAAAAATCTAATTGCATTAATAATTATTCAAAAAGGTTAGAAACTGTAATTCTTCGAGAGTACAAGATAGATAGCGGTTTTAATTTTAATGGACATTGATGAATGTACACTATAAAGTAGTCGAATTCGCGGTGAGATTATGATTTATGGACGAACTTTGAGCGACTTCAAAGTGACATTGAGAATGTCCACCTACTTACTAGAGTTAAATGACGGTTATAAACCTGTGTGAAGGATAAAGATTATGATTTACGGTTGATGGTTAGGATTAGGAATTAGATCAAAGGTTTTCATCAAGAATTGACATCAACTTAAATGCCAAACCTCTATTTAGCCAAGTGAATCGATGAACATCCAATACCTGTTATCTTGTATCTGATTGGTTCGTCCATAAATTATGGTCTCGTCCATCGTTTCAAATCAGAGTACTAGATCAACATCTAAATGTATGGTAGGAGTTTTTACACAAGTTAATAAAACAGTTTTAATAAGATGAAGGTGATATATTTTTTGCAAGTTGATATATTCATTAAATTGTCAATGGTCAATCTAAAAATTTTAAATAAATGTAATCCATAAAACAAATCCACTTGAATACAGTAATTTCAGCAAGTTATTTTCAATTTAGAAGATAAACGTAATATTTGGAAACGTAAGTGGACTGGCTAACCTTAGCATCATGACCTTGAAATTGATCACGCTGTTCTGTATGAAAAGATATCTCGTTTGTGTCGCGCAACTGAATTTGTGCTTTTGGCGGTTGACATGGTTGTGGTACAATTGAGCTCATTGGATCAACACTATTCCATGCACGTTCTGGAGGAAAATCTGCACGAAATTGAGTTTCACCAGAAAATGGTTCGCTAACACGTGGTTTTGGAGTACTTGGCATCTTAAATATTAGGAAAAAAAGAGTTATTTGCCATAATGGAAGATTGCGACTATCCGGTGATATTGTTAAACAAGTTAAGTATATAATTGGTTGTTTAAATTTACAGTTGAACAGATGAATTCTTAGAATTAAATATTATGGTTTTCGTTTTACACTCAACTAATTCAAAAACTGACAGTCGATCCTCTATATTATTAATAAATTTAAATTAAAATGATTTCTTTATATAAGCAGAAATGGATGGTGACTAACAGTGGAATCCAGGGTGTGTTTCGTTCTAGTTGGGACTCATTAGCTGGATGCACCTACATCCCAGAGTTGATGTTCACTCCGGGACTCGAACCCAGTACCGTTCATTTTAAACGCGGATGCCATGTGGATAAGGAGATAGTGTTTGAAGAGAACGGTATTGGGTTCGAATCTCGTATTACACACCAACTACGAGATCCAGGTATATAAAGTTGACGAGTCCTAAATAGGACAAATCGGGCTTCCTGGATTCCAATATTAGGAGTTACCCATCCCTGCTTATAATGCTTCTGAGTTGAGACAATATCGAGACAATCCACAGGATGCACATATGCCGAAAGAGACTAGTTAATTAGAGTCCTAAACATCAATGAGAAGATTCAATAAACCACCACAAATGGATAGTGACTTCAATAGAAGAAGACCAAATCTCTGGAACAAATAATAAACAAATAGCCTAAAGTAGGAGCAGGAAAGTTAATCCTTACCACCCAATTCTGTTCAACCATTTACATTATTTATAAACGTATGTATGAAAGAATTGAGGTAATTTGAAATTATTTTAATATAGTATGATATTCTTTGTATTCAGATGATAGACCGCATGAACTAAATAGAAAATTTTGAGATGATTTTACATATGAACCTTGTTGAAAAGATCTTAAACACCAAGCTAACCCTGCTGTCTAGTCAATTTGACTAGTTTTCCTACACTCATTTCACGATATTATGGAAGGAAATGATCACATCTGGAATGTGATAAGAAATAGGTGGTTCCCAGAAGGCAATTGTTTTGAACTAAATGTTTTAATTTATGTTATTAATGAGCGCAACAAATGCTGTTCTTTCAGATAGTACCAACAAATCTACAAGGTAATAATAGTTATATTAAATGCTTAAACTATGAGAAACTGGTTGAATTTTATCCAATATTGACAGAGGATAAATTCCAAAATGTTCTCATCAACTTACAACTCCGAAGAAACATTTTCACCCAAAAACCTCAATTAATCAACTAATAGACACAAAATATAGAGTTGTTTATTACCCACTATAAAAATACAATGAACAGCTCGGAATCAACTAGAAGATTTGAACTTTGAAGATGACCTAGCTCTTCTAGGCCATACACACCAAAAAATGCAGGTCAAGACAAACAGTGTAGCAACAGCCTCTGGATCAATAGGCTTCAAAATACACAAAAGGGAAAACCAAGATCCTCAAATTCAACACGGCGAACACCAACCCATCTCACTTGATGGAAAGACTCTGGAAGAGGTGGAAAGTTTCATTTGTCTGAGTAGCATCATGGATGGACAAGGAGGATTGGCAAAACAAGTACCACATTTTTATATTTGAAACGATGTTAATACACTTTGAGCGCTATTACAATAAAACACTATTCAGTAACTATTTACCTTTAGTCTACGTACAGGACATCCTGTTATCGGTTTGACTGTGTAAACACTTTTATTTGTAGTTAAAAAATCTCGTTCACCTTCAACACGAAGATTTGTTGGTACCGGTTTTGCAGGTTCTGTGTAAGTGATCTGAAAAAGACAATCATTGAATGTAGAAGTAAACTATGACTACCATAAAAAAGAGATGGCGTGATTATACACTGGATGGATCATTTAATTTTTTTACCGAAATTATTGGCACTATGCTAGCAGTCAAGTAATTGTGGAAAATTATTTTATGGAATTGGCTAGGAAGTGAAGTTTGTATTTAGCATAGTTATTTACATGGTTATGATGAGTACAAATGAACAGATTTCTGACTAATTTTTGACCATTATTTATTTGCTGATTAAAATGTAACTCAAGTTCTAGTGTAGTTGTTATATCTAGAGCTTAGATTCTTGATATACCGCGTATTACGCGAGCACTCGAACTCTAGAACCCGCTAGGTCGTAAAATGACAAGACAGAAGACGAGTGAGGAGGAATGTTATTCCAACAGTGTGGTACAAAATGTGGTACAAAACTCCCAAGTATTTATAGTTTCTAGTAAAAATGAAATCATCATTATAGTCATCCAATCCGCAAACAATGGCTTTTAGCATTTGTCCGATAGGGAAAATACATGTCGCGATTCTGGGATGTTCATCCAAAAGATGATTGGATGGAATGTCTCAGGTTTTTTCTGAGCTTCTTCGAGTTCACCCGTGGGCCGTCCTCACATTAGTGAACGAGAACATATATAAGGGAAACTGACTACGCATTTCAACACATTACAGAATATCTTGGTAAAATCTGAGAACCACACAGTAAATAATTCGTTTGCAAAATGTCAATCAATTGTCACAGACTTGATTGTATCTTCGGTTCCACATCAATCACTCTCTGTTCTCGCTCTCTTCTCTTCGGTCTTCTTAACATTTAGGATGTAGTGTTCAACAATATTCAAGATGAATTGATAGAATAACTGTAGGTTCATCAATATGTCGAACAGCAGTTGACTTTATTTGGGAATATTAGAAAATAGGTCTATCAAGAAGGAAAACCTATTCCGTAGTTTTATAGACGACATTTTCATTATTGTACATTAGTATATTAGTAAATAAGAAAGATTTAATCCAGATTGCTACTGCACACCAGAATTTTGTTTCTTAAGAAAGAATCTGACAAAAAAGTACATTTCTATGACATATCAATTATTTGGGAAGACATGTCACCAAGCAGAAATGTACATAAGAAGAGCTTCAATGTGTGTTACTAAGCACATAAAGTGTATAAACGTCGGATAAAGATTTAACTGAAGACAATATTTTTCATTGATGTCTTCTTATTTTCAAACTGGGGATTTTTAATGTTAATGGTAGATTTAATTCTCTAGTAGATAGAAGCAAATTTACAGTCATTCTGTTCTACGAAAACCGTTTATCATATTCTAAACATTCCATTAATCAGTTGAACCCCCAAATGCCATGGTACGACCGAGGGTGGGAAAAGTCAGCTCTCCCTCTCGAAACGCTCTCACATGGCCACGCATATACAGTCACTGTCAGGGAAGTTCTAACCACTGCCTTCGCTCGGTATGGCTGTTGTTTACGAAATTAAGAAGACAAAAAGCGAATGTTCGGAGCACACGGTGAGTCCTCTTAGGGGAGTTGGAAAACCCTGATTCCAAACCAATGGTGCACATGGGCTCCAGGATCCTGAAGGAACAAATGGCGCATGAACCTGTTCTTTGTCACCGGCTGGCATGGGATTGCATCTCTTTACATTGCTTCACTGCCCTGTAGATCAGACCTCTAAGTCGAAGGCGCCGAGTGTGGCATCCTAAGAAGATCACCTGCTTTGGTCTGAGCACCCGGACAGTATCACAGTCCACACATAAATCTAGTGACTTGTGTGGCGCATATGTATCTGTGCCTCTTTGTACCAATATTTATGTGTCCAAATAAATAAGTAATGGGTCGTCAAAATGGATAACATATCTGTTAAATATAAAAACTATTTTGTAGCGATTTACATTCATTATAATAGTTTAAAAATTCATTAAAAATGATTCAAACGAAGAAAGATTTTAACATTTCACGCAAATGGAAAACATTGTCATCTGATGTAGTTGAAAAACATATCCTTAAAAAATACACCGAGTATTTAAGTAGATGAGTCTTTGAACGTATCTAAAAATTCACCGAGAAAAACAATACTCTTGACTAGAAATCGACAGTTAATTGCAACAATACGAATTTGGGAAAACAAACAAAATTATTATCGTTATATTCATATATTTTATTGTGTAATCCATTTGACATGAAGTCAGTTTGTTTTGTGAACTGATGTTGTAGTGAACAGAACACGAATGAGGACAACCGAATGAACTTTACGCGACATTACAGAACATCTCAGTAAAATCTGAGAACTATATATTAAATCGTTAATTTGCGAAATGTCCACCAATTGTCTTAAAATGCCTCGGAATTCATTGTTCTTACATTTTCATACAAATTGCATTCTATTCAGGCTCTTTCTATCTTGATCTTCCCTCATCTTCTGCTACCAGACATTACATTCCTGACTCGCATAATATACTACTTATATCAATATAAGTAGCACGCACCACAATATCAGCTAATACATGTGTCAAAATCGGAAGAAAAATATAATCTTGGTTCATTTTAATTTGATGATGATCCAACAAACCCAAAGTAAAATGAATCAAGTAATCTTAGATTCCGTAGTAACCAATATATACAATTAGCTGTTAAATTAAAATGTAACAATGCATATGATGAGATGACAGAGATTTTTAGCTCGAGTGGAAGATTTTAGAAGTGTTTTGTGCTTTCTAAGTTGTTGGATGGGTTAATCCAATTTTTGTTTAGTCAATAGAATATATAGTGTAAGCATCTATAGTAAAAATAAAGTCATGTTTTTGTGGAAACCTACTTTCTTAATGAAAATATCCCATTTTCGAATGGGAAGCCTGTTACTCTCATGTTTTTTATCATCTAACTCGTATATTATTTTAAGATTGTGAAGGAGATTTCTGGATTAGAGAACGACAAAACCTTCAAAACAATCCAGCATTTTTATTTTTAGTAATTAGGAAGATAATTTCCATCCTATAACACAAACGTATCATCACTACTTCAACACCAACTAGTTGATTCCACAACTTTTCATTATGCTTTCGAGAAATGCATTTTGATGCTAGTAATTATTTGAATGCGCAATCATTATAAAACTAGATAGTTTATAATTCTCTAGTTTGAAAAACACTTAACTGTCTTGTTGGGTAAATAGTCTTGTTTATGATTAGTATCAGATCTCAACGTCGATGTGAGGTCATTCTCTCTCTGTGCTAATCTTCAATAAAAGTGTAATATGAAATGTTTTCAGGCATTTTTCTATTCTATAGTTGAATTCATGAGTTAATTGAAGCTAAACCATCATGGAAAATCTGGAAGCACTGGATGGTCGTCTCGTACTATTGTCGGACTTCTCAGCAGCGCGCATCCATGATCCCGAACCGCGAGGTTCGAACTCAGGACCTATCAGTCGCGCGAACGCTTAACCTCTAGACCACTGAACCGGCATCAAACGGTGTAAATGTCCAACTTCAACCAATCCACTATATTTTTAATAAACTGTTAACTAAGTACTGTATAGAAGAGCATAATTTTCACTTTACAACATAAACATTTAAAGAATTATTCATTTCTTTTATTCAAACTATGATCCATTCAGTAGATTCCAGTAAACAAAAACAAATAATCACTAGAAAAAATGCAAAACGTCATCAAACTCCATTACTATTTCACTATAATCATGCAAAATTATACACTTTTATTTATTATATCACATTTAACATCCTAAATTGGTAAGCTTGGATATTTTGTAAAGAAAAGAATAAGAATGTTTGTAAGTGAATAAAAAATATAGAATTATAATGCAATTCGCGACATAATAGTGTCATTTTGCCAAAAAAATTATTATTATTTATTATTTAAACACATACACAATCGTAAAGGGAAGCACCAAGTAGATTTGCGCCACATAAATCACTAGATTTGTGTGAGGGCTGTGATACTGCCCGGGTGCCCAAACCGAAGTAGGTGGTTATTTTAGGGGGTCACACCCCGACATTTTGACCTAAAGGTATGACCCACACGGCAGTGGAGCATCGTAATGAGATGCAGTCCCATGGTAGCCGGTGACCAGCGATTGGTTCATACGCCATTTCTTCCCGCAGGATACTGGAGCCCAGATGCACCATTGGTTTGGAATCCGGTTGAAGCTCCGGACATTCGCTTTTCGTTCTCTCATTTTCGTAAACAACACCCCCGCCACGAGAAGGCAGTGAATAGGACTTCCCTGGCAGAGGCCGTATACGCGTGGCTGTGTGAGAGCATTTAGAGAGGGAGGCGAGCCCACCCCACTCTCAGCCATACCAGGGCATTCGGGGGCCAAAAAACATACCTTCAATATTCTATTGTGAAAAGCCTTGATAAAGAAACACAATTAATTATTGAACTGCGTAAACAATTTATCTCGTAATAATGATACTACTTAAATTTATTTCTAAATTCAGTATTTATGTGTGTTTTGTAAAATTTTCGTAATTAGTATCAGAAGGGGTTTTATAGAGATTGGTAGTAATTTCAATAGTTGAGATCATGAGTCAAATGAAGCTCTTTTTTTAGTTATAAACATGAATAGAATCACGGATTATTTATTAACTCATATGTAATTAGTTAAACTTTCAAACTAACCATAACTAGAGAAAAGTAGTTTTATGAAGCTTTGATTAGAAAGTTTTAAATAAATTGAGGATTGTAAACATTAATTAGAGATTTTGGGTGACAGGCACAAGATCATTCACAGGCACACTTACTATTTGTATTCCTTTAGATCTTGAAATCTCGTAATTAGTTAAACGATTTCGTTCCATTCCCCAAACCCATATTTTCATCTCCAGTCATATCAGTTACTACTAACACTAGTACCGTTACTACGTATACTATTTTGATGTCCGGATGTGATATGTATCGATCTTGATAATTTAACTACTGAATATTTTAGTAATCATGAGACAGTATTCACTTTTACAAAAGTTTAAATCTATGAAATCAGGTTTATACCCCCCAATTAGTTAAACACATCGTATTAGATTTATGAAAATGCTGTGAAAATGTGAAAGAAATACAACTTTACTACATATACGGGATATTGAATACACATTATTGAAGCATCCACAATTGACATCATGAAATGATACAATAAATGAAAAAAAAAGAAACATACTGGCTTTTCAACAAATGTTTCATGTGTTGTACTTTGTAATCGACGATTTTGACCGGGATATAAAATCGAATCTGTGAAAACAGGCATTTCACCAAATCGTAGAATTGGTTGACCTATTGGAAATTTAGATGATTCATTTTGTTCATTAACATTATTATTAGTTTGATGACAAAATGTATTTCTATATGTTGTTGATGTACTAAATGGTGCTTCAACATCAAAATTTGTTAAACATCGATGTGTTTGCTTTTTACTATTCTGTTTTAATGACCATTATTAGATTTATCAAGATGTGAATTTCTAAGTTTCAATATAAATTGTTTAGTTTCTCTAGGAAAACATTGTATTAATGAAGATAGTTCTTCATCATCATTTATATCATCAATAAGGATATCCAATTCATTATTATTAATAATTTCATTAGATTTTAAAATATCATTCATTGTTTAATTCTAGATGTTCTTAAAGGAATGCTAATAATGATAATTGTTATCAAACAGAGAAGTGTATTGCATTAGCGAAAATGAATAACTAAATGATTCAAACAAATATCAATTTTTTTTTAAAAGAAAGTTTAATATGATAAACGCTAAATTTCAGGTCATTGAACAGCATTAGCAACCACGAACAACCAATTAAATAGTGTTACTACTATATATATATATATATATATATATATATATATATATATATATATATATATATATATATATATATATATATATATATATATATATATATATAACGAAACACAGTGACAAGTTGTTTTGTCCTGGTAAGGGGCTGCTCAATAATGACTATTCATAACCTAACCGGAGATTGAAAAGACAACCTTCAGGTCTTCTAATGAACGTTTAAACATTAGAGCAACTTGGGTGACACCCAGTGGTAACTTACTGAAAATGTTTCTGAGATTCTAGTGAGAATTCGTGTCCGATTCCCAATGGTTAACTACCCAAGTTCATTCTGTGATATCAACTATAAAATTCAACAATCTCCACAAACCTAGTATACACATAAGTATGAACACCTTTAGCTAATATAAATGTAATTTCCCAGTAATCTAGTGAGTAGATATTAACAGAGGAGTCTAAATATGTTTGATACAAGGTAATTAACCCGTCCAACAACGAATTCTCGATATCGCTTGTCGATAGAACATAGTAAATATCTCGCCTGAAAACCATAATTTATGATTTGATCTTTGTTTGAACAGTGGATGAACAATCCCCATCCTAGAGAAAAAGATATTCAGTGTTTCGTGATATTCAATTGATCATCTAAATGAAACCAACTGGCAACGTAAAATACGAAAGTTTTGAAAGAAAATAATTTAGTGAAGAATTGAAACGCTTATAAACTTACTCAGATAAAAAGAGTATTTTTTTTTCCATTTATTATTACAGTGGTAAAATTAAAACCTTCAAAATTGATTTCTAAGGAAAAATCAACTTTATTATAGATCACTTTTTCCATTATAGTCTAATCAATTGACTTTTATCAGCAATCATCAAACAGAATAGTAACTATTATTGAGGACAAGATTTTTGTCTTATTTCAAAATGACAGATAAAGACAGTTGATATCAGATTAAATTGTCTTAAAAATATAATCAGGATGGTTCATTTTACTACAAACAATCATGCACAAACACACACAAATGATAAGAAAATGCAATTAGAAAAGAAAGTTTGACACTCTCTTGATCTCATTTTGACATATCTTAGAAAGAGATATACGTGGAATTACTTCTTATCACACTTATTATTTCACTTTTTTTCTTAGAAAAAGCACGTTGTATTGGGAAAACCAAGTTGTCTTCTGAGATCAATTTAATTGGGAGGCTTGAAGAGTCTATAAAGGCTCCTAAAAATGTTCGAAACGTTTTACTCAACATATAATGAATAGAGGTATCGTATAAGCATTTGGAAAGATGAATACTCGTCGCAATTTCCTGAGATAATAATCTACATAATTTGTACATTCAATGTTTCCATGAACTTCTATTCCGACAAGGTTATATGAAACTAGAAATACAAAAGATTTCTTATTCATAACTAAATTAAATTTCACGCATTTTAGAATTCAACTATATGATTATTGGGAATGCTTAAGAATTCAATGTTTCAAAAGCAGACTTAAAAGTCAGTGATGCATAATGGCCCGACCGAAGCTGCTACCTTGACGCGGTGGTCGGGCTTGCCTATCGTGATGACCCAACCGAGCTATGTTGGCTGAAACACAAGTTCCTGTAGGTTCTACTATGCCAGGCAGGTCGATTAGAGGACGGTAAGACTAAAAGCAGCAACTCAAGGTCTGAGGGCGAAGTCGTACTGCTGACTGTAGAGGGGTGTGACAGCAGTAAGGTGTTTCCCTCGGACAACCAGCATCTGAAGCGATGCTGCCTTCCCACAAGGAGGGGTTAGAAAAGTTCGACCCTAAAAATGTCACACCTCACCTTACCTCACGGATTTCCGTCTCCGTCGGTAAGGCCCTTTGAAGAACGGAGCTAACACATCAAAAACCTTCCACGAAAAGGCCGTGCGCGGCCGGCCCCAAGCAGTTGTCCCTTGGGCTCTGCGGTCACGCTCCCAGGCCGTCAAGACCAACACTAATCCAATTTCCTTTTCAGGTTCCTCAAGAAATACCCTTCCACAGTGTGGGCAGCCGGAAAGTGATATCAGCCCTCATACCCGTAACAGCACACGAGACCAAGTTGGTCACATTCGAATCCTTCCTACACCTCCTAATACCTCTCCTATCTCCATGACTAACCCTTCTCAGGTCTCTTTATCATCTCGCACCGCTAGGGCAAAAGATTCGAGTACGCGGAACGCTATTCCTGGTCTCCTGAAACCACGCTCTAAACTACACGTAGGAGCTTTTAACGTCCGAACACTGTGCCAAATAGGACAGCAGGCTTCCTTAGCTAGGACTTTAGAATCTCGCGCCATCGATGTGTGCTGCGTCTCCAAAACGCGCATACAGTATCCGAGTAGCGTCATTCATCTGACCTCACCATGCCAAAATAAAGAACCGACTCGATTCACCCTTCGTGTATCTGAAGCCCAGATTCTGCTTCCCGTGGCCCCGCCGGCGTAGGTATAGCATTGAGTCCTGGGGCGGAACTAGCTTTCTTAGACTGGATCCCAGTAGACAGTCGTTTGTGCGCTGTCCGGCTGAACGGAACAGTAAGGATCCGAAAAGATAAGGACACTCGTCCTCTCTGCCTATTCCCCACTGACTACAGCTCAGATGATGCAAAAGATGAGTTTTACAGAAAGCTTTCCGACCTTCTCTGAAAAGCTAAGCGCTCTGATGTAGTATTAGTGGCTGGTGACTTTAATGCTCAAGTAGGTAAACTAAGCGAAACGGAAAGATACCGGGGTGGATCATATGGTGTCTTGGCTCAAAGAACAGATAATGGCGACCGTCTGTTGCAGCTATGCTCAGATAACCGCCTCGTTCTTGCAAATACTAACTTTAGGCATAAGGAAAAACATCTTTTAACATGGCGACCCCCTAATTCGTCCCAACGTTGGACCCAAATAGATCACATCGCTATCAGCCACCGATGGAGGGGCTCGATAGAAGACTGTCGCTCATTCTGGAGCACATGCTTAGATTCAGATCATGCTGGACGTAGTAAAGACGCTGCAAGTAAACCTCTTAGGGCCCTACTTAATGATAGTCAAGCTAAGAGTATATTTCAGGAACAACTAGGAAAACAGTTAGGCAGCCATGTATGTGATGCCCACCCCGATGCAGCATGGAATGATATCCGAAAAGCTGTGGAAACAGCAGTGATATCTGCTAGTAAGGTAAACCAGAAGGTTAGGGAGCAACACTGGATCTCAGCAGCATCTATCGCACTGATAGATGCTCGGAAACTCATTCCACCTGGCTCTGAACATAATGAAGAGCGGAGTCAGCTTAAGCGCAAGCTGACAAGAAGTCTACGCAATGATCGCGAACAGTGGTGGGTAGCGAAAGCAAGAGAGATGGAAAAGGCAGCGGCAATAGGTAATAGCAGACAATTGTTCAGACTCGTTAGGGAAACCGACTGTTAGCGAAACAATCTCAGAGAAAGATGGACATATTATTCATTCTCAATCCAGGAGATTGGATCGATGGGCAGAACACTTTAGGGATCAGTTCAACTGGCCTTCAGCCACACTTCGGTTTCCCACGATCTCCAGTCAACCTGAATGGCAAGTTAATGTAGGTCCTCCGTCTCTTTACGAAGTTGAAAAAGCCATAGGAAATCTGAAACGAGGGAGAGCAGCAGGCCCTGACAGGTTTACTCCTGAGATTTTTAAGGATGGTGGTCCAGTATTAGCAATGAGATTAACTGAGGTCTTAGGTAGAATTTGGGAACTGGACGTAATCCCATCTGACTGGTCTCAATCACTGATTGTGCCAGTTTAAGAAAGGACAAAAGTCCTCTTGTGACAATCACAGAGGAATCAGTTTGACTAATATAGTGTCTAAAATATTAGCTTCAATAATACTTCGACGCCTAACAAAGCTCGTGAAGAGCAGACTAGAGAAAACCAGGCTGGTTTTCGACCTGGACGTGGTTGTATAGATCAGATATTCACACTACGTCAGGTTCTAGAACACAGACACACATTCAGACGCCCCACAATGGTAGTATTTCTCGACCTTAAGGCGGCATTCGACTCTGTTGATCGTGAGGTTCTATGGCAGTGTTTGTCACTGAAAGGAGTACCAAAGAAGTACATTAACCTTATAAAGGCTCTCTACTCGAACACAACTGGTCGAGTGAGAGCTTATGGCGAACTGTCATCAGAATTGATTACCTCAAGTGGTGTTCGTCAGGGCTGTCCACTCTCCCCATTCTTGTTCAACTTTGTTCGACGTACTTTTAGAGATAACACTCTCCTCATCTAAATTTCCAGGGGTTGAACTTCTACCGGGAGGTTCACTTGTTGACTTAGAATATGCTGATGACATAGTTTTATTTGGTGAAGACGCTGACAAAATGCAGAGTCTTCTGACCACTCTAAGCAACAATGCAAGCATGTTCGGGATGCGATTCTCCCCTCGAAATGCAAAATGTTGCTTCAGGATTGGGTTACATCGACACCCGAACTAGTGATAGGGAGTGAAGTAGTTGAGTGTGTCGACCGCTTCACTTATCTTGGAAGTCTCATCAGCCCTTGTGGTTGGTGTGTGACGAAATCTCAGCACGGATACAGAAGGCTCGACTAGCTTTTGCCAACTTGCGTCATTTATGGCGTAGGCGAGATATCCGTCTATCAACCAAAGGACGTGTTTACTGCGCAGCAGTTCGTTCCGTCCTACTTTATGGCAGTGAAACATGGCCGGTAAGAGTAGAGGATATTCGTAGGTTACTAGTATTTGATCATAGGTGTCTTCGAAATATTGCTCGTATATCATGGGACCATCGAGTAAGTAACACAGTTGTTAGGAAACGGGTACTAGGTAAGGATGGCAAATCAATTGATGAAGTAGTGAAACTTCATCAGTTGAGATGGCTGGGACACGTGTTACGTATGCCCAACGACCGACTGCCTCGACGTGCTATGTTCAGTGGTATAGGAGTAGGTTGGAAGAAAGCTAGGGGCGGCCAAACCAAAACATGGCACAAGTCCATGAAGTCACTGACAAGTGGACTGAGTCATGTTGGTAGGTGTAGACTACCTGGTTGGGGACCGCGAGATGATAGCAACCGATGGTTAGAGACCCTGAATGACATGGCTCAAAATCGTTTGCAATGGCGCAGGTGCATCCACTCTCTGTGTTCTCCCAAATTCTAATCTTCTGAATTCTTCATGTCCCTTTTTTCCTCTTTCCAAATTTATTTCACTGGATTATACTCTTTAAATAACATCTCCAAACCCTAATCTTCCCGATTACTGCTTATACTCTTATTACCTCTACCACTACGGGATTTGAATCGACACTGCATCTCTGTGCTAATGTGGTGTGGCAACTCGAACTGATGTACGTACGTACGAAGTTCTACTGACTGGCCTGGTATTCAGCCACACTATACTATGGAACAATACTGTTCGATAGATATATCCCATGCCAAAGTCTAACAAATCGCAAGTATAATTCTACTCATTAATACCAATAACACAAATGCCCCAGTATCTATTTTCTAATTAACACTAATGAATGCGCATGTACAGTTGTCAATCCTTCTCAGAATTTATTTATTGACGTTGACTTAAGGAATATCTTAGATGGTTAAAGTAATAAACGCTAATCACTGACTTCTTACGAAATTATTATTCAATTCACAAACAGACGAAAACTTATGTAAATTACAAAAGCATATATCTTTCTGTACTCTGAAAGCATTGACAAAC